ATCATGTAAAACCTCGACCATACGATAGACTGATACAAAACCGAAACCTAAACTCGGCCTACCTTACAGGTAGCCCGAGTAATAAGCGAACCTACGTAAACAGAAAATCGAGAAACGTGTTTTCAAAAAACAAAGTCACACAAATTCATGATAAAACCCGCTGAACAAACATTGCTGCATACTCCGAAAATCATCTCCACAACCACAAATACTCCATTTTACTGTTCCGTTTGAATGACCACGAATAATAGTTGCAAGTCGAGGCTGCAGTTTCCGCGCATAGCAAAACTATACTTTTTATCATGCGCGGAAACTCCAGCCTCGGCTCGGAACGGAGCTGTAAAATGGAGTATTGGGATTCTTTCTGGCATATAGTACACAGGGATCCCAATAGTAAAGATTAGTCTTGCTGCTCGCCTCATGGCTCGCAGCAAAAATTTAAATGTTTTTAGTTAAAACTTCTGCAGAAAATTTATTCATTAATTCTTCTTTTCCCATGAAAGGTGTTGGAGGAGGCGGGGGCAATTTAAAGCATCAGAATTATGATAGAATTCCATTAGCTGTGCCCCGACTTAGATTAGGCCATGCACTGATTTGGATCAGCCCATGCATAGCTCGAGGTTATTTAAGGGTTTGATCTGTGAGTTTTTAGCCATATCTTACTTTGTTAATAGAAGTATTATGATCATCCGGGTGGATGTAGTCCTGAGAAGGACCGTTTGATGTGACTGAAGTTTCGACAACCTGAGCGGAAGTCATCTTCAGAGTCAAGTGAAGAATAAAAGTCAGATTGGTCATATTTATACTGCCACGATAACAATAGCCTAATTACCTGAAGTAGTGTCATTGGCGGCATCAGTCTAATGAGTGCGAGTCGCTGTTTCGGTGTTGTGGGCGGTTTTATTGTTTCTAATAAGCCTATTACGGAGCCGGTAAATTAATTGAGCGGTTTAGTGGATGATGCTCAAACTTGGTAAACCAACTCTCCAACACAAGTCGTATCATTGTCGTTTATCAAAACGTCAGTCACATCAAACAGTCCTTTTCAGGACTACATCCACCCGGATGATCATAATACTTCGATTAACATTCATTCACCTGGGATCAGACCGTTCTATACAATATCTTACTTTGGTAATACCTCATAATTAAAGTTTATTAGCAATTGATATAATTAATGTCGTTATGTCCTATTACAGATGCTGTTCAAAAGGGCATTGACTCAGATCTCACCTCAGAACTTTGTGCCAGATTCAAAAACAAAATGCTTGCAGCTAAGCCTGAGCAATGAATTTTCGAGTATATTGGAAGAAATAAAACAAAAACATACCTTGATATTCCAACTCTTTGGGGAGCCAGGGAGCGGCTGTTCAACCTTGGTTCAAGGACTTTGTCAACACCTTTGTGAGATCGAACACATCGCAGAGAAGGAGATATTGTACCTTTCACTCAATGGATGTTGTAATGAGAAATCTTTGTGGGAGTTCATGAGTGATCTGGCAAAAGAAAGAAATCATAAAGAACAAGCCACATTCTTCTCTGCAACATCTGAGAAAAAAGATGAAAAGATCAAAAGGTTTCTAGGRTTTTTTAATTTCAAAGTTGTTTGCTTTGACAATGCAGATTGTAATGATGGTTTAGTGGAATCTTTCTTGGAACATCTTGTGTGTAGTAAGATCAAGACTTTTATCATTGGCACACAAACCAGACAGATTCAAACTAATGCACAAGTTAGTACGATAGAAGTGAGAGGTCTCAACTTGTCAACTGCTCAAGAATTGTTCAAAAAACTTTGCCCTTCATGTGCCTACGAAGATGGACAGATTTCAAGCTTATGTGGAATCCTCAAATATAACCCGATTGCCATCAACTTCTTCTGTGCTTTAGTAAATTCACACAAACTTGATGCAACTCAACTACAGCTGTCCAAAGGTGAAAGACGGGTTGACATGTTTGCACTAGATTGGATATTAGATTACATCAAGCAATCTTTGGAGCCATCATATATCAGCATCTTGTATCAACTGTGTCACCTTCGAAGACCACTCCCAATGACAGAGGTAACACCAGAGATCAGTAAACTCATGGAGCTGAATCTACTGACAGTCAAGAAAGAAGGAAGTGTGAATGTTATTGCCATTGATTCATGTCTGCAGAAGTACTTGTCTTGCAAAAGAGACATGAATACTGACAAGGATGCTGTTCAACAAACTGCAGATTTCAGTGTACTTAAATGCTGGCTTTCTTTAGTGTGTTTTAAGCTTCAGAACTTGGTTCAAGATGCCGAGGGAAATGCCTGGCCATTTGTTGAAGAAAAATGGTATGAATTATGAATGTAATTTATTCTTTTTTAAAATATTTTTCCTCCACAAAAAATCAACTTCTAAATTCTAATTCCACCTATCGGCTGATTGTCATTTGGGTTGCAAAACCTGTTAGGAATCAAGCCATCGACCAAGGAGTGGTAAATGTATTAGATTTAGAAGAACATCTTATATCAGTTCCTAGTTAACCTTTGATAGACCCTTTCAGCTTGGGCATAAGGTTTTCCCATTTCATACCATGTGTCATTTCCTAGAGTATGGGAAGCATAGGTGGCATAGCAGTGAAAGTGCTCGCCTCTCACCAATGCGACCCGGGTTCGAGTCCCTATGAGCTGGGTGTTGTATGTGAGTTGAGTTGTTTGTTTGTTCTCTCCTGTGCTTCAAGGGTTTTCCGGTTTCTCCGGTTTTCCTCCCGCCGCAAAAACCAACTTCTAAATTCCAATTCGATCTTGGGCTTTCACCTAGCATAGATCTGAGGGTTCCATTCGTGATTGTCCCACTCTGTGATTACAGAGAAAACTGATAGACTTTTTACACATGATTATGGATATTCAACTCAAACAAAGAACTAAAATGGGAAAGCAGTACACCAAAAAGATGAAAAGGCCGATGGTTTCTCTTGAAGGACATTTACATAAAGTATGATAATTTTATCATATCAATATCCTTTATAATTTGATGGCATTTCCAGGCAGTTTGCTCGAGAAGTAAGCAAAGAGGAAAACTACAATGTCCAAGATCTTCTCACGTCGAAAAATCATGATGTTCCTTCACTTACAGAATTACAAATTCTTCAAGTAAGACTTTCATTTTTTTTGTTGAGAATACAGATGTTAGAGTAGATAGGCTTTCTTAAAAGAGAGATATAGGTTAAAGCATTTTGTCCCTAAGATTCTTGATGGAATCACAAAACATTTAAATAAATTGTGAGCAAAGAGATGCCATAGATATCCATCTTTTATCCATTTTTAAGAATTCAAAATCTATAATCAAGGAAGGGGGCACATTTTCGTAAAGCTATATGTGTATGGAATAAAAATGTTACAAGCTCCTCTTGAAAACAGTTTGTTGGTCCTTTCTTAATGCTCACATTTCTTGATAGATTTGATATATTTACATAAAGTTGATTAAGCTATGGAATGCCTCTGAGATCTACCTTTGGTCCACTAACACTGATGTAAAGGCTGCATGGATAGATGTAACAATAATTTATTAGGGTTGAGAGATC